GGGAATAGTCAAAGAAGAAGAAGACATAACTTTTGAAGATGTCCAGGCGTCGTCAAAGTCAAGAAAGAAAGGTGTGAAGTCCAAAAACGATCCCTCATTTACGCTCAGTGATGTCCGCTCTTCAAAGTCGCAAAACAAAGGCGTCAAGCGGAAGAAGAGAGATGATCCGGTTGAGGATGAAGAAGACTACAACATGAGTGGCAGCAAGTCAAAGAGAATGGAGTTTATCGGATGGGGTTCGAAGCCACTCATCGATTTCCTGACATCCATAGGGGAAGAAACCGAACACGAAATGGAACAGCATGTCGTGGAGTCGGTGATCCGAACTTACATTCGTCGGGAAAACCTGCTTGACGCTGAGAACAAGAAGAGAGTTGTTTGTGACGAGAAGCTGTATTCGATCTTCAGGAGGAAGTATGTGAATCACAAGAGGATTTATACACTTTTGAATCGTCACTTTAAAGATAACGTTGAGCAGTTTGAGCATCTCAATCTCATGGAGCTTGACTTGGCTGAGAGGAAGAAAAATGGTTTAGTGCCGTGCAAGGAGCAGGAAACAGAAAGGGAGGCAGATGAGGAAGTTCGTGAAGAGGAAGTGAAGCCTGAAATGAGGCCAACCGGTTTAGCCGTAATCAATGCGGAGAATATAAAGCTGGTTTATCTCCGGAAGAGCTTGATCGTCGAGTTGCTGAAGCAGAATGAGAGCTTCGAGGACAAAGTGGTGGGAAGCTTTGTGAAAGTGAGGAATCACCCTCTGGAATATGTGGCGTACCAGATCTCGCAGGTTACAGGTAAACCAAACACTTTGTGGTTTTTAGTTTTTAGATGAATTTGTAGACATTGTGATACAGTCACTGTAACACCTGCTCTTTCTTGATTCGTTTTCTGTAGGCATTAAAGCTGCTGATGCCCAGAGTGTAGAAGTGATTCTTTATGTTGCTGGTGTGGATTATGATGTTAGCATTTCCAGGCTGGAGGATTCTGACATCAAAGAGGTTAATCATGTCTGAACTTAATTCACACGTTACCATTTTTAATCCTTTCAGTTTGGTTTTTGCTGCATTCACTGAAAACGTATCTTTATATCTCTTTGTGTTGTCTTTACTTACTTAAAAGCTAAAATCTCCACTTTCCTCTACAGGATGAGATTGAAGATTTGAAGCAAAAAGTGGTGAATGGCCTTCTGACACAGCCAACTCTTGTAAGCTCTCTAAACAATCGAAACTTCTCTATATACCATGGTTCTCTGTTTAGATCTTGTTCCTGTCCTTTAGGATCTAAAACTCACCAATGTTTTTGCCTGTGACAGGTGGAGATGGAGGAGAAGGCTGTGTCTCTCCATGAGGAGATAACAAAACATGTGAGTGTATCTCTGAAAGCACATAAGTTAAACACTTCATGTTCATACAAAGATAAACAAACGAATGTTTTGGTGCTGCATCTCACTCTTTTTTTTTATCTTGTTTATAAAACTCCAGTGGATTACAAGGCAGCTTACCCTTCTGCAGAGCCGCATCAACCATGCTAATGAGAAAGGATGGAGAAAAGAATATCCTTTTTTTTAGATTCTATCATCATCTTCCAACACATTTTTATCTTTTCATATGATCCTTAATTACATTTTGAGACACCTTAACTCTTTGCTTCCCTTTGTCTTACATTGGAAGAGTATCTTGACGAGAGAGAACTTCTCCAAAAACCTTCAGAGCAGGAGAGATTGATGACAGAAACTCCAAAGGTCATCGAAGAACTCATCGAGATAGAACAAGAACCAGAGAGAGAAGCAGCTGAAGCTGCAAGTGCGCCCTTAGATAGCAGCAAACAAGATGATACCAGCGATCTTCCTGCAACATTACCGACTGAGTAACCAAGATTCTGCAGCATCGTCAAGAGGAGGAAGATTTGTTTGTTTTTTTAATTATACACATGTCTTTTTTTGTTAGGAAATTACAATGGAAGTTTTTTCTCTTCCATTAGAAAACTCGGCTAATAACACATCTTAAAGCTCTTCTTTTTGCTAGGCTTAACTTTTTGAGCTTCGTATTGTATGTTGTATGATGATAGTCTCATCTCATGCATGTAACATGATTCATGTTCATGTTAATATATGTATGCTAGTGACGTATCTACTTGCTCTCAGAGTTGTTGGAATAAAAGTCTTTTCTCTTGCTTGTTGCGTTCGAATCAAACCGGTCGGTTCGGGTTTAGCTTCCATAATTAAAACCAGACGATCTCAAACCAATTTCTTATTTACCATTGTTTGTTTCAATTTTCTCACGTTTTTTTCTCTCTGTTCTTACTTCTTCCGTCGGATCTTCGCCATCTCCGTCATCGGCGCTTTCTCAATCACCGTCGTATTCTTCGCCACCGCCATCGCTCTTCCCGATTTTAGAAGTGTCTCGGTAAGTTTGTTTGATTTTGGTTTGGGTAAATATTGCATATCAAGTGTTCGATGAAATTTCTGAATGAACTCGTATATACAGTTTCCGTGAGTTTTTTTTCAGAAAAGATGAGCGTTTTTCTCAAGGACATAGTTCCGGCGGCGCAGAACAACATCAACACTCGTTTCATCGTCCTCGATAAAGCCAGATCGTCGGCGACAGCGGGAGCAAACGGAAAGAGTTGTATCGCATTGGCGGCGGATGAAACGGCGGCGGTTCACATACAGCTGTGGGGAGATGAGTGCGACGCGTTCGAGGCAGGCGATATCGTGAAGCTCACCAATGGGATATTCTCGTACGTGAGAAACAGTGGGCTCGTTCTCAGAGCTGGGAAGCGTGGGAAGATGGAGAAGATGGGCGAGTTCACGATTGCGTTTGTCGAAACGCCAAACGTTAGTGAGATCCAGTGGAATCCTGATCCGGAAAATCCAAAACGCTATATTCAAAACGGCGCCGTTTCAGCTTATTCCCGTGTCTTCCCTCCTTTGCCTTGAACAAAATTTGTAACAACACATGGAACTGAAGGCTAATTTTGTTTTGTTTTGTTTCACTCCTTTGATGTCATAATCACTCCTTCTGCACATGTTTTTCATCACCTTTAATGTCATAATCAGTGCTAATAGTGATATCTTTAGTTGTATAGGGTTCCCATCTTTCAAGAAACCTGTACGAATCTCAGGCCCCTTTACTTGTCAACACAGCCATAATGGTTCTTTAAGCAGTACCATACGATTTATCAATTATGCTAACACCTTCAGTAAACATCCATTTCTGAGATCTATGGGTCCATCAACAATAATAAGAAAAATGTAAACACTAAAATGCCTAAACTATCGAATGACTTTTAAATTAGGCATGAGCCGAAGTAGCCTAGTTGTCTCAACATCTCCTTTTCTAGCTGAACCAAAATTCAGTCCGGTTTCAAATTATTCCAAGTGAAAACATCATTATATGTCAGTTTACTTTTGTAGTACTGTTCATAAGAAAAAAAAGATATCCAAAGCTATTAGCATGATCATTATCTCTATATTTTATGAAAGTGTTTGATAGAGCAAGGGGGTGAATATGTGAGATTTAGGGTGATGTTTTAATTTCCAAATAAAGACGTTGAGGTTGAGAGTGATATAGGCCTCAACGGGCATGAAAATTCTCCGTGACCTGTAAGTTCTTATTGTCTTTTTTTTTTTTTTTTTTTTTTTTTTTTCTTTTCAGTTTGCTTTGGAAATTTTGTTCACAGAGTTTTGATGATGTTAAGTAGTAGCAAATGAGTCTATCTGTTTTCAACGTTTAATATTTGTATTTTAGAGGTTTTAGATTTTCTGGTTTTCAATGAAGAAGTTTTATGTATGTTTGCACTCATTTGTTTGTTTAAATGCCTTCTTAGTTGAACTTTATGTTTACACTTAATCTTTCATACTGTTTATGTTTCCATGTTCTATTGTGTCTTTAAGTACATTGAACTCTATGTTTGCACTTAATTTGAACATGAGACAATTTATGTTTCTATGTTCTTCAAGCTAATGGGAGTCATTTCGGAAATGAGCCTATCATTGCTGTTTGTGAGCTTAAGGACACGTTGGATGATGGGATGGTGCATGGAGGCATGGGTTGCACCAATTCAGTGGAACTTCTCGAGACCATCATCAGTGGGGTCACATCAATTTAAGTTTATGCAGTACTCTAAGCCTATCAAGACAATTTAAGTTTATGAATGTTTCTATGTTGTTTGAAGCTCTGGTAAGCCTATCAAAACATTTAAATTTATGTAGTACTCTAAGCATGTTTCTATGTTGTTGAAGCTTTGGTCTTGAAGCCTATCAAAACAATTTAAGTTTATGTCGTACTCTAAGCATGTTTCTATGTTGTTGAAGCTTTGGTCTTTTAAGTTTTATAATATTCAAAAGCTGTGGTAGACATGAATCTTAAATTAACCAATAATTATGAGAAAACAGAGCCTTTAATTAATCAGAATGGATCGTAGTTGCTTAGTTAGAGCTACAATAACAAGAGCATAAATGCCAAACCACGTTCAGAATGGATCCATTAAAAATTTAAAATCCATCAAACAATAAACCCTCCTAAGAAAGGACATTAATTCCAAAAAAGCATAGCTTTAACACTTTAAAGTAGCCAAGTATTTGCTTAGTCTGTACCAAAACACTTTCGGAACCTATTTCATGTTCTTTATTTCATCGAGAAACATAATAAACCTTCAAAAGATGATGATTTGCTAAGAAATCACTTGACCACACAGATCTTGATAACCGAAGCAGCTCCGATACGGTGCAGAGCCACCACAGCATCACCATGGTTACACAGTCCTTTCTCAGTCGCCGACTTCAAAGCGGACTCAATAATCTCCTCTGTAGACTCACTGTCACTGGCTTTTGCGGATCCTTCACCCAATACCGGAATCAAACCTCTGTATATCAAACTATGCCTAGCCGGTGACTCGTCGCTGCAACTCCAGTTAAAGGTATCGCTGGTGAAAACCGGAACAACCACCGACAGAATCGGAACAGCCGGTCTATACTTAGCCACCAGTTTAGCTGTTGTACCTCCTCGGGTCAACACGATGATGAGTTTGGCCCTGGCTTTGTTTGCGGTTCTTACAGCGGATGATGCAAGACTCTCCAGTGTGCTCATTGGAAGTGGAGTGGCTCTGATCATCTCCTTGAAGATTGTGTTGTAGTCCAGAGATGACTCTGCTTCGATGCAGATTTTAGCCATTGTTTTCACCGCTATCTCAGGGTAGGCTCCTGCAGCGCTTTCTCCGCTGAGCATGACGCAGTCCGTGCCATCGAGGACTGCGTTTGCTACATCCGTGGCTTCGGCACGTGTTGGCCGTGGTGATTTGATCATAGACTCGAGCATCTGAGTCGCTGTGACCACCGGTTTACCAGCGAGGTTACACTTGTAGATCATCATCTTCTGAGCCAAGAAGATCTTCTCTATCGGAATCTCCATCCCAAGATCACCACGAGCAACCATAAATGCATCGGTTTCACGCAAGATCTCATCGAAATTCAGCACTCCTTCCTGGTTCTCAACCTTCAAAATGATTCAATCCGAACAAAGTATTAGATCTCATACCTTTAAACAACTAACTAAGCAAGCCGCAAATGAAATAAGGTTACACGTGTGCGTACCTTGGACATCAGCATTATACTCTTGGAATGTGATCCAAGCACTTTCCTGACATTGACAAGATCTGATCCTTTGCGAACAAACGAAAGAGCAATCATATCGATTTGGTTTGGAACACCCCATTTAAGAATATCTTCTACATCCTTCTCAGTCAATGTTGGGAGATCAACAACAACACCGGGGAGATTCACATTCTTTCTCTCGCCAAGCATCGCTGTGTTTTCACATCGACACAGCACAGTTCCAGAGTCTGGATCACATGACAGCACAGCGAGACTTATGCTTCCATCTGCACACAGTATGGTATGTCCGGGCTTCACATCCACCGGCAGCTTTTTGTAGCTCATGGATATCGTTTTCTCATCACCCTTGATGTCGTAATCAGTGCTGATAGTGATCTCCTGACCTTCCTTCAGTTGTACAGGGTTCCCATCTTTCAAGAAACCGGTACGAATCTCAGGCCCCTGTGATAATATAACATGAAAATTAAATATTGAACGCTTGTAAGCACAGAGAAATAATATATTCCAACCATAATGAGTCTCTAAGCAGCACAGAAGACCCTTTTTATCAGTGATAAGTTTGAGCTAATACCTTCAGTAAACATCCATTTCTGAGATCTATGGGTTCATCAACAATAACAAGCAATACGTAAACACTAAATCAACCATGCTCTGCTAAATTTCTTAATTGAGAGGCTGAATCATTCACAGAGTTGAGAATTATACTCGAAAAATTCACATTTCAACTAAAGAATGAGTAAAAACAGTGTCTTCTTCTTCAACGAAACACAATCAAACAGCCATTTTCATGATCTTAGTCTTAGTCCATAAGCGAGAGAAGCAAAATTCATGTTTACACACTTCTAAATGAACAGCTCAAGAACAAAATCCATCACAAAAAGGAAATCAAGATCAATAGAAACAACAAATATTAGTGTTTGAATTCAAAGTAAAGCCAACTAAAAAAAAATAGTAATGCAATCTTTAGTTTACCATTTTCCATGATTATAATTTCTGGGTTTGTGTATCTATCCTTGATGTACTTCAATAATTTAGTAAATCCTCCCGAGGAAACGCTCATTGCAGCGTTCAAAGGCTGAAATATATACAAATATGGTCAAATATCTTTAATGTTAGAACATTTTGCTTTTTTTTTGTTACGTACTATCACTAAATTCTTACCTTGGTACCAATGCTTTGGTTCAGTACACTCTTTTCTGAAAAAGAAGATAAATATATTATTTAGTACCAACTACTAAACACAAACAAACCCTTTTCTTTAACTTGTTTGGCATTTGTTATCTTATATTTTCTTTTTCTTGTTTGGCATTGGTAAGCAAAAAAAAAAAAAAAAAAGCTTACCTTCCCAGTGAATAAGAGAATCTTGCTTCCAATATGGTTTTGAATAATCTATCTTCTCCAAATGAGCTGAAAACTGTGAATAATAGTAGTTGAGCCCTACGAAATCTGTCGAGTTTATCAATTTTGCTCTCTGTGTAGCATTAAATCTGGGCAATCTGTCTCCAACAATATCTCTCATTATCTTTGGATATTCTCCAGTGATAGTTGTTTCCAGATGCCTACAAAAATAATCAAAATTCCATACTTTAAAGAAATTATATATAAAGTTAGAAACACTTATTTTTTTCAAATATATTTAAACTTACCATCCAAGCATAAAATCAAGTGCACGCTCAATAGAGGCACCGTCTTGTGCATCTTTAAAGTCATGTGGTTCGAACCAAAGCGGACTATGTGCGATTCCAATCTTCCCACCTGTACACTGCGAGCATAAACATAACCCAAAACAGATAATTCCTTAATTATCATAAAAACAAATATAATCCTATTAAAAAATATATCTTTGAAAAATCAACATTTTCGATATATACACATTTTTGCATGCTCGGAAAGCTTCAACAGCTTCTGCGTGAGCGTTAAGGAGGTTATGAGTGACTATATAACACTCACGTCCTGAGTGACCGTCGGGACATGCTTTATTAATGTAATCAGAGCAACGGCCTGGTGCTTTCTTCCCAATGTCATAACCGGCGTGAGAATAAACCCATGGCTCATTGAAAGTGATCCAATGTTTCACTTTGCCACCGTATTCATGGAAAACAAAATCTGCATACGCCCGAAAATCCATCCTGCAGTTTTCAAAGTAAAGGATATTGCTTTAATCAGGTTATCTATATGATGACTAGGAGGTTATGGATCAAAACCCTGAATGTGTGGACCAAAGCATATTATATGGTTTTTTCTCAAATGTCAATTTTGTGAATTTTTTAGTTAATTTAACAATACTATCGACTTTGCTACTCCTTATGTTCTCTAATAACTGGCATTTATGAAACTTTTTCTTGTTCACAAATTCCCACAAATCAATTTTATTGTTGTCACTGTTTTTTAAACTTCTGTTAGAGTTACGTTGATGATAAAACATGTTTTATTTTGAAAAAATGGTTAATAACTTCTTAATCTGTGTACATGACTTCAAAATGCCATCTATTAGAGAAAAGAGAGAGTATATGATATACATAAAAATTGGTTTTGTTTTACTTAAAAATAAGCTTACACAATCCTGTCGCTTAAAAAACCGCCATATTCGTCTTCTAAAACTTGTGGAGTGTCCCAGTGGAAAACAGTCACGAACGGAATTATACCTGATTTACAATTTTAACTAAAAAAAGTTTAGCAAAATTAAGGGTAATTGATTTATTTTTGGTTTTGTTAATTAATTTTACTTTGCTAACCATTTAATTTAAGCTCGTCGATGAGGTCATGGTAGAATTGCACACCAGATTCAGACACTCCTTTATCCTTTGTCCCATCTATAAAACATTTTATTTTTCTTTCATTAATATTTATAACAAACATATACAGCAAATCTGACTATAGCACTAAAATTTAGTTACTCATTAATTTAAATAGTTATATGTGTCTATCGATCCGAAGCACATAAACTCACGAGGGAATATTCTTGTCCACGCGATAGAGAGTCTGAAAGAATCAGTATTTAGATTCTTCATAAGTTGGATATCTTCCTGCAAACATTTTTCAAGACGACACAATTAATCAAATTAACATCTAGCATGCATAGAGTATTCAATAAAATTCATTACTTGATATATGTGATAAATAAACTCTTAAATTGTATACCTTATAACGATGGAAGAAATCAACGGCCACATCGCCATTCTGGAAATTACATTTCTCTGTAATACAAAATGGATTGATCGATTATCGAGATTAATGAATTGAGTCCATCTTATATATATTCGAAATAGAGTACTCTCTTTTCATATTCCTTGTAATCTATCGAGTTAAATTTGGTTTCATATTATCATTTTATATTTTCAATGCTACAATATAGTAAACTCTCTAATTTTATCCTTATTTTAAGCTTATTAAGTACTCATATCAAATAAATAGCATAATAATTAAAATAGAAATTTCAATATTTACTTGTGCAACATCGTTACACGACAACTAAATCAAAATGGAGGGAATGATTGTAGAGACACTCACCTGGATATTTTTTACAGTAGACATCCCATAAAGATGGTCCACGATTAGTTTCATTCACTCCACCTTCAACCTAATGACATTACGATCGATTGTTCATTCGCACCAATGACTTCAAGTCATATATACAAAATATTTTGAGATGTAGAGTTTGATAAAAAAAAAATATTATACCTGGTAAGCTGCAGTAGCTGTGCCAAACAAGAAACCTTCAGGGAAATGAGCCCGGCTTAGTGTTCCCGGCGGTGTAGGTGGACAAACAGGTCCATCCGGTTTTACAGGGTCGACGATGGTTAGGTACAAAATCACCATGACGATGATTAGGAGCAGAAGCAGCCCCGCTATGAGACGACACCTTTGCGAAGCCATCGTGGTTTTAGTTTTTAGTTTTATTCTTTTGTTTTCTTCAAAAGAACAAGTTTAGTATGATCCTTAATACATCTAAGTTGGAGCTCTTTATATAGCGATTTCGACTCACTACTTGATAACTCATTTTCATTTTCTAACAGGTCTCGTTTAATATATTTTTTAGTTTACTAGATCAGAGGTTGGTTTCGGTCAATCTTATTATAGCCACTTGCATGGTACGTCGATAAGTCAACATACCGATGATAGTGATGGCTACAGTTTCTTGTTTAGTGTAATAATTTACATGCATGTCTTGAGGATGATTCATCGCATGATCTATTATCGCTGTGCTATGAATTATTTTTCTCAACTTTTATCAAATAATTCTGCGGGTGTCTAACGTGACATAGTAGTAAACAATGACTTCTAATAAATCGTCAACATATAATATGTAAAATGAATTCTTATTTTAGAGTATTCAGATCTAACGCTATGACTTTAAGATATTAAGGCTATATATATGACTTCGATAAAACCGTCAGCATATAATATTGTAATATTTTTCCTTGTTGGCGTCGGAGACATGATTTTATTATGTCAGATGGATGGATGTGTGGGAGAACACAAATGTGAGAACATCAAACTGATGCGTAGTTTTGTGAAGTAAATCCGCAAAAAACATTTGACGTTTTTTTGTAACATTTTGAAGTACTCATTATATAGACAATTTAGTTTTTCTTCACGTGAAGTTTAAAGTATAAAACTATAGGACGGTAATTTTGTTATAGCTGAAGCCTTCGAGATTTTGTTAAACCAAGTAGACATTGAAATATATAAAAAAAAAAAGGACTTTTTATTATAACCAAGAACTCATGAATCTTGGTCAATCATAAACGACAACATAAGAACGAAACATTGAAAACTGGAAAATCAAATCCTTCAAATGTAGCTCAAAGCTCATCCCTCTTGATCTGCGATGGACGAATACCTTTACTGAGGAATTCTTTGTAATACCTAGCCGAAAGTTTTTCATGACGCGTGAGGTTATTCTTGAAATCAATGTAATATAGTCCGAATCTGGTCTTGTAACCATCTTGCCACTCGAAGTTATCCAACAATGACCATATGAAATATCCTGTAACCTTCACCTGGTCGATGCTGCAGATTTGACACAAATCGTTTTATTTTAATAATTTTTTTTATATCAGATTCTTCTTCTATAAAAGTGGTACTTCATCATATAATAAAGAAATAGGTCTTACCAAATAGCTTCGTGCATACTCAAAAGATGCCTCTGAAGATAGTATTTCCTGTTAGGATCATTAGTACCAACTTCAACTGAATCTTTGTCTCCAAGAATTTCTCCATATCCTGAAAAAAAAAAAAAAATCAAAAGATCAAATCAGTGTTTGTTTTCAAAGTAAAGTAAACTATAAAATAATAGTTATCAGTTATGCGATCTTTAGTATTACCATTTTCCATGATCATAATTTCCGGATTTGCGTACTTATGCTTGATGTGCTTCAATAGTTTTCTAAATCCTCCCGAGAAAACGCTCAATGCAGAGGTCAAAGGCTGAAATATATACCACAGTGGTAAAAGTGTTAAGTCATCTAAGACAAAGCTATAATATTATCTCATATTGCTATTTCTTTCATTAAATTCATACCTTGCTACCAATGCTTTGGTTCAGTACACTCTTTTCTGAAAAGAAGTATATATTAATTAGTACCAAATATTAAACAAACCTTTTTCCTAATTTAAATTGTTTTGCTTTGGTTTTCTTGGTTCAGTTTCAGGTAAGTAAAGCTTACCTTCCCAGTGAATAAGAGAATCTTGCTTCCAATATGGCTTTGAATAATCTGGCTTTTCCAAATGGTTTGAAAACTGCGAATAGTAGTAGTTGAGCCCAACAAAATCCGTTGAGTTTATCAACTTTTTCTTCTGTGTAGCATTAAATCTGGGCAATCTATCTCCAACAATATCTATCATGATCTGTGGGTATTCTCCAGTGATAGTTGTTTCCAAATGCCTACAAAAATAATCAAAATTCCATTTTTTAAATTAAAAATTGTATATACATATAGAAGTAGAATCACTTATGTTTGTTTGGTTTCTTTAATTAAAGAGATTGAAAACATACCATCCAAGCATAAAATCAAGTGCACGCTCAATAGAGGCACCGTCTTGTGCATCTTGAAGGTCATGTGGCTCGAACCAAAGTGGACTATGTGCGATTCCGATCTTACCACCTTTACACTGCGAGCATAAACATAACGCAAAAAAAAAAGCATATCAGAAAAACAATAATCCTAGTAGAAACAAAAACAAAAGATTAATTACTCCATAATCAACTTTTTCTGATTTTTATATAAAAATATATATACCTTTGTGCATGCTCGGAAAGCTTCAACAGCTTCTGCGTGAGCGTTAAGGAGGTTATGACTGACGATATAAACCTCACGTCCCGATCGTCCGTCAGGACATGCTTCATTGACATACTTAGAGCAACGTCCTGGTGCTTTCTTCCCAATGTCATAACCGGCGTGAGAATAAACCCATGGCTCGTTGAAAGTGATCCAATGTTTCACCTTACCACCGTATTCTTGGAAAACAAAATCTGCATACTCCCGGAAATCCATCCTGCATTTTGCAATCAAAGGATATTGCAAATATCAGGTTGTAGTTATTGGTTACTAACTAAAAACTAATTGATAATTAGTGGATTGGTTCATGTCTATTATAAATTATTTAAATTTCTTCTAACTTCGGATGTTCGGTATTATTCTCTAATGGATACTATATGATATATAAAAGTGTGTTTTGTTATTAAAAAAAAAACTTACACAATCCTGTCGCTTAAAAAGCCGCCATATTCATCTTCTAAATCTTGTGGAGTGTCCCAGTGGAAAACAGTCACGAAAGGAATTATACCTGTATTTATAGTATTTATTAAAAATAAAATGTTTTAGAGAAAATAAGTGTAATTTATTATTGTTTGTTGTTGTTGATTGATTGTACTTGCTTACCATTTCTTAGGAGCTCGTCAATGACATCATGGTAGAACTGGACACCAGATTGAGACACTCCTTTCTCTTTTCTCCCATCTATAATACATTTTTGTTTTCTTTAGTTTTACAAAAGCATACACACACCAAATTTGATTATATGAGTCTATCGATCCTGAGCCCATAAACTCACGAGGAAATATTCTTGGCCATGCGATAGAGAGTCTGAAGGCGTCTGAGTTTAGATTCTTCATAAGTTGAATATCTTCCTGCAAACGTTTTCCACACGACACAAATTATCAACATCTAGTATGAATAGAGGATCTCAATAGAATATATAACGGAATAGTTACGTGATATATATGTGATAAATAGTTTCTTAAGGTATACATATATATATACCTTATAACGATGGAAGAAATCAACGGCCACATCCCCATTCTGAAAATTACATTTCTCTGTAATACAAATTGAATGATTGTCGAAATTAATTAATTATATCAAAATCTTATTAGAAATATAGTTAGTAGATAACAAGACAAGTAGATGTAGAAACTCACCTGGATATTTCTTACAGTGGATATCCCATAGAGATGGTCCACGACAAGTTTCATTCACTCCTCCTTCAACCTAATAACATAACGGTATTTAGTCGATGGTTCATTCACACCAATTACTTAAGGGTTGCATGCATGGTTGCAACTATGACTTTATAATGCTACTTAAAACATAGTCTGTAAAACCTTTAATTTTTAAAAATAAAATGTGACCTAAAAAAGAGAGTAAAAGCTACAATTTGTTGACGTCCAAAACAAAAAAAAAAAAAACAAAATGCTCGCCCACGATAACAATATAAAGAAACTTAACAGTGAGTTTTTTTTTTCAAGAACTTATTTAGGACTAGATAACATTTAAAAGTATGACTAAATAGTTTTAGACTCTTAAAACGAGTTAAAGTTTTAAAAATCTCTACCAAGCAGAACAATATGTTTTGAGCTATAGCCTATAGCTTGATTGAATACATTGTACCTGGTATGCGGCAGTAGCTGTGCCAAACAGAAAACCTTCAGGGAAATGTTCCCGGCTTAGTGTGCTTGACGGTGTAGGTGGACAAACAGGACCATCGGCATTTGCCGGAGAGCCGACGATTGTTATAAGCAAAAGCAGCCCCATCATTAAAGGAAACCTTTGCAAAGCCATCTTGCTTTTAGTTTCTTCTGTTTTGTTCAAGAGAACAAGTTTAGGATGATCCTTACACTTCTTAGTGGAGTTCTTTATATAGCGATGTTGATACACTACCTTGTTTATTTAATTTCTTTTTAAGGTACCACATTATTGATCCAAATCAGATCTTGGTTTCGATCAAATTTTATAATAGCCAATTGCATGGGGCATTGATGGTCACTGCCTCACTGGTCAACAGATTGATAATCTTTTTTATTATTTTCTGTAGTGAGTTAGCTAAACCATCATTATTGACTAATAAAATTATTTACATGTATGTATAGAGCTAGAGGAAGATTCATTGCATGATCTCTATCGCTGTGTTATGATTACTTTTCAAAAAAATTGATCATATAATATAATAATCCGCGTTTCTAACGTGCACCATAAAATAATAGTGGGTGTATTTAGAAGGCTGAACATAAATTTATGGGGACACTAGTTTTAACCAATATTTCACATAAGCTTATCTTCATTAATTTGTATAGATAAAAATAATTTGCAATATCTGAGATCCCCACTGTGCACCACGCCACCACCACAACTTTATTTGCATGACGTTAAAAAATTTTATAACTTTTTTTGTTTGGTAAAATGTGAAGATTTTATACCATTTTCAAATTTGTGACAGAAGTTACTGAGATAACAAGAAGACAGAAAGACCAAAAAACTACAGAACAAACTATAGTTACAACAGTCAAAACAAAAAGCGAACAAACAATAAGCTAAACACACATCACAGAAAACCGAGTAAAAGCCCGAGAGGAAACACCGATTCCGAACAAAGCCTGAAAATTTGCGCTGCTGCCAAAGCCCGAGACCAAATTTTTAAATTTCTATAACTTGCTTCCATAGTTCCATTAATCTATAAAATTTGTATAGTTTCTAGGAATCGAACACCCTCTTGACTATAGAAACATTAATATATAACTATTTGATCAACCACATGTATTAAAAGGGTTTCACAATCTAAATCGTTGTGTTATGATTTATTTTTCCAAAATGTATATCGTAACACATTTTTCAAAAATGTGAAAACCCTTTAACAACAACAAAAAATGTATGAAAAGAGATTCAAAATCTAAATCGTTGTGTTATGATTTATTTTTCAAAATTTTGATCATATAATAATGCGCGTGTCTAACGTGCAGTGTATATTATTATTGATGAATGACTTCGGATTTTTTTTTTTTTTTTTTTTTTCCTGCAATGACTTCGAATAAGTCGAGAATATAATATATCTCGTGTTTAACGAGCAACCATATTAATATTTAATCTTGAATGAATAGATTTATATAATACAGTATATTAGAAAAAGGTCTCAGGTCAAAGAAAGATCTCAAGGAATAACATGGATCGGTTATGAGTGATTAATTATTCTTGTTTTGCATTTTATACTATATCATATGTAGCTTCGAACCGCTTTAAACATTTTTAGACTCACCTAGTCACCACAAATAATTTTCCTCTTTATACTTAGTGTCGTCTAGATTGATGAAACCATGTGAAGAACCCAGTCGTTATTTCATTTCTTGCACGGCCCTGCAAGAAATGAAATAAATCAAAAGCTGTTTGCATTTCTACAGGAAGCATCGTGTAAAGAAGAGGAATATATCAAAAGTTGTTTACCTTTCTACGGGGAAACTTCTGGACAAGTTGTCAAGTGCCAACAATCTTAAATTATATTCAGATTCAAGGCTATATTAAATTATGTCCTCGTATAAATCGCCACCACCATACTGTTGATGATCTTCTGTATTGTTTTCTGTAGTCAGTGGCTAAACTATTGTTATATATAACTACAAGAAAAATGCATTGAAAGAAAATATGCATCTAATGTAATATGGTTAGTAGTTAGTACTAAATACTGCATGTGATAAAGTGCATATTTTTTTTAAGAATGTATGCATTTTACAGCAATTTAAAAATATCATATTGAAATTTGAACTAAAATTTGTTTTTGAGAGATTACAAGAGCAGAGCTCTATACCATGGTAGACGTTGTATTAATCCAGATGTAGAAACTATATCTCAAATACACAACATAACCTGAAAATTGTAGAGAAAGATAAAATAGGGAACATAGAGTTCATGTTTTAATTTTGTCAATGTCATCGCATGGTGAAATGAAAAATATAAGAAAACGCAGTAAAGAAGGCAGAAGCGACACATTTCACTGCATTAATTGGAACCAAATATTTGGATAAGCGATGGGAAAACGCCCAAAAAAATCTTCAACTTTTCCGATTAGAACGTTTTATTCCCGAACTATCAATTGCACAATTAATTCCCCAACAGAGTAAATATTCTCATATTAGACGAAGCCTGATTTGGCTTTAACGTCACTTAGACGGGAAAACCCGTCTGCTAGTTTAAAATGCTAAAGACGTCGAGATTTTTTTTCCATCACAAAATCCCCAAATTGAAAACCCTAGAACGATTGCCCAGAAACTGAAGCGAAATTGAGCGAAATTCTGCAATTTCCATGGTGAAAACTTTCCATGGGAAAAGAGGTAGGAGGAGGAATAAACTCCCGATTCGAAGAGAGCAACAACTCCCGCACCAGCATGAGCCTCCAATCGAGCATGGGCTTCCAATCGAGCCTGAGCCTCCAATCAATCATGAGCCTCCAATCAACGACGAAGCACCAGACATCGAAGTTGAACCAGAAATAGAGCATGGAGCACCACTCGAGCTTGCAACTGAAATCGATCTTGAAAGATAAGTTTGAGTTAGTTTGAATGATCAGTTATGATGACTTAGGATGATGATGAGTTAGAATCGTTGTTAGGTTGAATGAGGAATGATAAGTTAGAATGATGATGAGTTAGGATGCTTGTTAGGTTGAATGCTCTATTTGATTGGTTTTATGCTTCTTAGGATGAATGAGGAGTTACACAACGAAACTGTTGAGGAAGAAGATCGAGCAGAATCAGAGGATGATGATCCCATCGACGAAGATGATTGTGATTGCCCTGCTATTAACGAAGATGCAGCTGGATATAAGGAGAATGAGCCAGAGTTAGCTGACATTCCAGAGGAGGATAATGATGACCCATTGGTGAATATTGAAATCTGTGATGATGAAGATTTTTTTCGAGATTTGGAGATGATGGTCCTCAAGAAGGAGGTGAAGCTGCTGATGATAATGGGGATGATATGTGGAATGATGATCTCATCCCTGATCCATTAACAGATGATGAAGATGATGCGATCTTAGGAGTAGAGGGTAGGCCAATCCCTTCTCGGCCACATGAGATCTTAGCACTTGGAAAGTGCTTCAACAATGCTGATGAATTCAAGTATGCACTTCTCACATATTCTCTGAAAACGGAGTATGATATCAAGATGTATAAATCTTCTAGTGATCGGCTTGGTGCGAAATGCACAAAACACGCAGAGGAGAAGTGTCCCTGGAGAGTGTATTGTTCTTTTGAAAAGAGCAAAAACAAATTGATGGTCAAGTTCTATGAGAATCGGCATATATGTACAAGGAGTTCTTACACCAAGATTTTGAAAAGTAGAGCTATTGGACAACTCTTTGAAGAAAGGCTGAGAGTTAATCCGAAAATCAAGCCAGAAGATATGGTTGCTGAAATAAAGAGAGAGTTCAATATGATTGTCACTGAAGGTCAGTGTAAGAGAGCAAGATCTGATCTTCTAGCAAAGAGAAAGGCTACTCATGAATCGCATTTTGCTAGACTTTAGGATTATCAGGAAGAGGTAAGATCAACTAATCCAGGCACAACAATGGAGGTTGAAACGATTCCCGGGCCACTTCCTGGACACAAGCAAAGGTTCTTTCGTCTCTATGTCTGTTTTGGAGCATTGAAAGAAGCGTGGAAGCAGTCATGTAGGCCTATAATAGGATTAGATGCCTCGTTTATGAAATGGGATATTAAAGGCCAAATGTTAGCTGCAGTTGGTAGAGATGGTGATAATAGGATATTTCCTATTGCCTGGGCTGTAGTGGAAACGGAGGATCCCTAATTGGCTGTGGTTTGTGCAACTTCTAAAAAAAGATTTAGATCTTAAAGATGGAGATGACTATACAATTTTCTCTGACAAACATGCCGTAAGTGTCACAACTGAATTTGTTTTAGTCATATCCTATCTATGTATGATATTTTGTATTTAACATATTCTCATTTGGTTTGATTCGTAGGGTTTGTTGAACGCTGTTCATGAAGAGCTTCCCAAAGCTGAACATAGGCAGTGTTCTCGACACATTTTGGGAAATTGGAAGAAGACAAACAAGGACATAGAGCTTGAGCGTATGTTCTGGAGAATAGCAAGGAGCTATACACCAGAGGCATTTGAGGATAACTTAGAGATAATGAAGAAATACAACTCAGGTGCTTATGATTCACTTCTCCGCACTGCACCAAAAACGTGGTCTCGAGCCTTCTTCAAAGTTGGATCTTGTTGCAACGACAATCTCAATAACTTGTCAGAGTCTTTCAATCGCAATGTTAGAGAGGCAAGGAGAAAGCCAATACTTGATTTCTTAACTGAGGTCAAAAGGACAGTCATGGAGAGGAATGCAAATAGAATTTTTTTAACCAGGAGGTGGAAGAAAAGGTTCACACCAAGAGCAGACAAAGAGATTGAAATCAATCGGCAAAAAGCTAAAGACTGCAAGAGATATAGGACAACTGGAAATGTGCATGAGGTCGACTTCCGTGGAGATCCTTGGAGCATTGACATGGATAAGAAGACATGTGGCTGCGGTTATTGGCAATTGAATGGCATACCTTGTATGCATGCAATGTGTGTCATCACAAACTTGAAGTTAGATCTCAATGACTATGTCTCCGACTACTACTTGACTTCAAAGTGGCAAGCATTGTATGATGAAGGTATGAAACCAGTTCAAGGCATAAAAGCATGGAAGCGGTTAGGGAGATTGCCTATTTTACCACCACCAAATAGAGGTAACAAAGGAAGATCACATGGCCGAGCAAGATTTAAAGGTTCTCAAGAATCATCTTCTAATCCAAACAGAGTAACACGCCATGGACGTATTCCGCAATGTTCAAACTGCAGAAAAGAAGAACATAACAAGGCAAGATGTTCTAATCCCACAGAACCTCCTCCACCCAAACGGCCAAGAGGTCGTCCAAAAAAACAGGTTTGAATCTCACAATATCTCTAGCTTGTTACATTGTTTGAATACTATATCCTTGACCAAATGGTTTGCATTTTCAATATGGTATTTTATAGGGACAAGAACCACAAGGAGTACTCTCTCAAGCATCACAAGGAGCTTCTCAAGCATCACAAGGAGCTTCTCAAGAATCACAAGGAGGATTTTCTCAAGCATCACAAGGAGCTTCTCAAGCATCGCAAGGAAGATTTGGTTTCTCTACCTAGTGAAAGACTTTTCTGTTTTTTTTTGGCGTTTTTTGGCTAAGTTTTAGCTTGTAGGATGTTTTAACTACATTTAGCCTCGGCATTTTGGCATCTTGAACCTTTTGTAGACTGAATGGTTACTCATTTGTCATTGATCATGTTTTATTTTGGCATTTTAAAGCTTAATGGCAAGATTTTTAACTATCAATTTTGACTTTTTTCTTCTTTATAAGAGTAAAAGAGAATAGAAGACCAAATCTAAGGCATAATCTTGTCTTATAAATTAAAACACAAATCCAATATAACATTACAAAGCCACAATATTGTCTTACACAAACTTTTAAAAAGTACACTTATTACCAAATACAATCATATACTACCAATAGAAAATGTGTTTCCATTAGCTTTGTGGAACATGATGTGGTAAATGAGGACAAAAGCTAACACACCCAAACAAAGACCAAGCACCACCAAGTTCTGGATTTTGAGTTTGCGGATCTCGGCTCTGCATTGTGAAACCTCTTCTTTCACGTTTAGTAACTCAAGCATCAAGTCATTCATTTCAATCATCCTCCCATGATCACTCTCGGATTCTCTCCTTCCACACTTTTGCATCAAGTCTAGAACTTCATCATACATTAAATCTTCAACCCACTCAAACAAATGCCCTTTCTACAATCCAAATCATAATGAATTGTTAAAATCTATAGAGACATTACATTCACAATGAAAGCTTAATGATGATCAACGAAAATTACTTGTATCTTTCGGGAAGCAGAACAAAGAAAGTAAGGATGTCCAGGATTATCTATTGACTGTGATGTGTACTTAACAACAGGAGCTCCACAAACACATTTTCGGAAATCCCCTTTTCTCTTTGAACAACACATTGTTTGAGGAATTTCCAAATTCCATGTTACAATTGGGACGGATCTCCTGCTCCTACACTCACAATTGGGCCGATTTCATACACTAACTACTTAAATGCATAATCTACTTGGTTCGATTCAGGGCAAGGAGAAGGAGAAAGAGTGACTTACAGATTTCGAATTCGTAGAGGAGACTCGACATGTTTCTGGGCAAGTAAGTCGATTCAGGTTCTTTGTGATGTTCTTCATGTTGTTGGTGTCTCGATTTTTGGAGATCACCTGCAGAATTTCACTTCAGTTTGTCGCCAAATGTTCTAGGGTTTTCAATTTGGGGATTTTATGTCGGAACAAAAAATCGCGACGTCTATCGCGTTTAAAAGTAACAGACAGGTTTCCCCGTCTAAGTGACGTTAACACCAAATTAGGCTTCGTCTAATTCGAGACAATTTTCACTCGGATGGGGAATTAATCGTGCAATTGACAGTTCGGGAATAAAACGTTATAATCGAAAAAGTTGAGGATTTATTTGGGCGTTTTCCCGATCAGCGATACCATTTTTCTTTCAAGAGACTCGATATTGGATACATCATAAATACTCAAGTCATTACAAGATTTCAGAGCTGTAAAAATGGAGTAGATCTTTGACCAATTCTTTGTCCTCAGGATACTGTCTTCTTGTTCTTGAAGGGAGACAGTAATGAAAAATGGCGAGATGCTGAAAATAAATCGAATAAGAAATGAACAAAGGTGAGCAAAAACTTTCGTTAAACTCACATCAGCATAGATTACTGATCAAACTTTCTTACCAAGAATCAGAAACCCTTTTACTTACATTTCTGTGAAGCCGTTGCTGCTGTAGGTGTTTCTTCTTGAGAGATGAGATTCTTCAGTGTAAAAGCTGGATAACCAAACAGAAACGCCTCCAACAAGTTATATAAACCAGGCTTTATACAAACTTCTAGTTAAGGTACACATAAGTCGAGTTTATCAGATTCTCTATATACCACAACATTTAACATCAATAGAACCATAATGATGTGAAATAAAAGATGTTGGTCTTATTGGACAATGCAAGTTTTATCCTAGAGAAAATTACTTCCATGCGAAAAAAAACTGGAAAAATATCTCTACAAGAAAGCAAACCAAATTTATATTTGCTTCAGCAGTAATTCATGAGAGATAACAGGATGCAAGAAGTTTGTACCTTCAGTCGTGGCAGCGTTAACAGCTGATTTATGATCCTCCTGGCTACTGGCAGCTGCATTATTAGACTCCGTATGGTGTTCACTTGTAGACGAAGACTGACTCTTTTTTCCAAATTTCAACAGTTTTCTGAGTCCTTTTGACGCTGACTCCTTTGTTTGAGATTTCTCTAAGGCCTCATTGCTCTTCTTCTCTGGGACAAGGACTCTGACAGTTTCTTGCTCTGTCTCATTTGAGTGTAAGCTTGGTGCCGATGCTTGGGAATATTCTGAGTACACTGTAACTGGATCTTGTAACGAAGAAACCCGGGCATATGGAGCTTGATATGGTTTCTCAACAACATTTTGACTTGTCAGAAATTTTGGTGTTTCGGTTACTAAGTCACTCAGAGTCTCCAATCTAACCTGAAAGAAAAATAAAACATTCCAGTCAACAAAACCGTTTAAAACAGAAACTTATCCGGCTAGAATAAGAATACTTACTAAGACTAGATCATTGCCACTCTCATGCATTGTTTCAATGGCTTCCTTATCAACTCCATCGGAAGGAATCGAGTCACGGATGGTGGAGTTTCCAGGGACTACCTCGGACTTCTCGTGTTTCGTCTGATCTAGACTTATGCTTCGAGCTGAACTTGGCAACACCATCACCACTGTCTTCTCAATCACTGGAGTTTCATCAACATCATTATGGCACAAAGATGTTTTTTTGTTACCACTTGCTTCAGTCTCAGAAGCTGAAGATTTAAGTTTCTCAACCCCTTTCACCAGAACATTTGTAGGACCTTTGGCTGGTTTTATCTTCAGTTCCGGAAGAGATGCGATTTTCGCTATATCATAATTAACAATGGCAGATAATTTCTTTATCTCAGGAGCATCAGATACTTTTCTAGATGCTATTGTGCGCTGTGACCTTGCTGAAGAACTTGTTGCACTACTGTTACCCATTTTGGGTTCTGATAATCTTCTTGTCCTTGAAACAGACTTATTCTGGCTATCTAGACTAACTCTGGTTTCTCTCTTAGACAGAGGTAACGGTGATATCGACCTTGTTATCCTGTTTCCTGCTGCTATGCTCTCTCTCTTAGATGGAGGTAACGGAGATATCGACCTTGTTAGCCTACTTCCTGTTGACTTTACAGTACTCAGTTTACCATTCTTGGGGAATCTCTGAGGGTCATTTGACCCTAGAGAAGCACTTCGTATGGGAAGTCGTAGAAGAGGTGATAATGATCCTGGTTCTGTGTCACTAAACTTCGAGGCTCTAGGAGCGCCGGGAGAAAATTTGTTTACCACTTTTTTTCTTGTTTGTTGTGCAGGCAATTGTGACTGGCCTACAGCTGAGTTGCTTTTAGAAGCAATCCGCTTTTGCCTTGCTATTTTCAGAGCTTCGATGCGCTTCCTCTCTTCCTCTTCCTAAAACAAGAAAGGATGGCATTATTAAGAGTGTGTGATGCAAAGTTTCAACCACAAGTTGGCTTATGTCTTCTGAGATTATGCTTTTCAAGGTGATTAACTAAACTCATCAAATTGTGTAAGTCAGATATTTTACCTTTTCCTTCTTCATTACCAGGAGATCAGCTTTGAAAGTTCTAAGCTTATCAGCACGTGCTTTTGCTTCATCTAAAGGACTCATCTTTGTGGGTCTGCCTTTACGTATTGGCCCGGAAGCCTTCCTCTTGTCTGCAGCATCATTAGATAGTCTAGTTTTTGGATCTCTCACTGACTTCTTAGCAACTCCAGTTGCTTGATTGGTCTTCTTCAGAGCTTTGGATCCAAAATCTAGTGCAGGATCATACCCAGCCGATAACTTCTCTGTTTCACGTTCTGGCATCAGGCTCAGATCATGAGGCTCATAATTGACCTGCTTTCTTTCATTTCCATCAGTTTGGCGGGAAGAAGAGATCTCTGATCCCATGTCTATAGCATTTCGTTTAGTGCTGCCACCTTCATCTAGCATTGAATATCCCCGAGTAACAATATAAGAATCATCATCCATGTTGACTGATGATCTCTTATCCAGGCCATTTCTTGGATTATCCAATCCGTTCAAGTTGAGAGGACCAGAAGAATCCTCAAAACCATTTTCTCTCTGGTGAACCATAAAAGAGTCACTAGACCCCCTGATTCTACGAGACACAGTTCCGTTCCGAATGTCAGCTGTATCCCTTTCGTGATATCTTTCTGCTTCACGTTCATCATGAGCTAAAGGATCATATTTCCCTGTACCTTGCCTCTTCTTCCCTGCAATCTCTTTTTCCATCATATGGTCAATGGTACGTTCATCTCTATCAGCATCTTGCAACAAATAAGTCTGAAAGGCCTGCCAATCCCCAGTGTCAGCCTCTGTCCCTTTTGTTGCGCTCTCTATACCATTGTAACATTCTCCTCTAGCCCCTTCTTCAGGATTTTCATCAGCATCAGAGTCGGTTCCTGAATGATCTTGCTTCTTTGAATTAACGTAATTTATATTCCGGATCACCACCTTCCCTGATTTCCTTCTTCTACCTGATTTTCCTTTCTCTCTGTCACGATCTTCTGATCCTGATTCCTCACTACAAGATGAATCATGTTTCCGTGCCTTTCTTTGGCCAGAACTACGTCTAGAGTCATCTGTAGACGGATAGGGAGATGGATATGGACTAGCTCCTGGATAGTTCGGATAGTACGGCATGCCTTGCATTGTATATCCTTGAAATACAGGAAAGGTACCAGGTGGAGAGTGAACTGGCCAAGGTGCATATACCGGGTGCGGATGCTGCCCTTGCACATATTCTTGGTTTCCATTTGGTTTATTATCTGAAGGAGACTTCACATCTGGATACAAGAATTTTTATTTGAAATAAATATCGATTTGTGCAAAAGCAATGCCAACAATGCAAAAAGGAGATATTCAATTTTCAGCTATTATTACTCATATAAATTATCTTACCACTGGTTTCAGGTGTCCCGGGCAACGAGTCCCTACGCATATTAGGAGCATTTGCGAACATAATCCCTGAGTCATTCGTTGCTGAGATGTTTGGCTGTGTTGCCAAGACTTCTGCTTCAATTTCAACCCACTGGCCAGTTTCGTGCTTTTTCTTCCACAAGTCCTTGAATTTCAAACAAGCATTCCTATGACATTGATGAAGCAAAACATGAGATAGCTAACTTGGTCAATGCAATTCAGTCCATAAAGATTTTTACTTAAACTGATATGAGCTTTTTGGTTATGAAAATACGAAAGAAATAGGTGAAAAGTATAATCTTCTCACATCAAACGTGAGGCTCCAAAAGATTTGGCGAAAGATATTAGAGGGAGCATATCATTAACGTCGAAACCAGCTGCCACAGCACGAGCAAATGCCATTCCTTGTTCTTTCTGCAACACTGTTTTCCGTGTCTCCAAAACTTTCAAAACTTGAGCTCTGATAACAATTCCACATATTAACAATCAGATACTTAACTACTCTCTTTCATCAACACTAAGAAAACAAATATCTTTCATGCAAAGGGATATACTTAGAGTTTTCATCTGATGCGGTAGAGCGATTAGCTTGTTTGGGATGTGAATCAGGCTGTCAAAGATGTCAGAAAGATCAAAATCAATTGTTTGTTCCAAAGCGAAAAATAGGTGAGGAAAATCATTTTGGTGCTAAGTAACCTCGTAAAGGACAATAGCTTTCTCCTCGTTGAGCTGTAGCAAAGGCCTGCCACCTGATTCACATTTTCACATCTTGGTTAAACAGAAGATAAAGAGCCAAGAGGCATAGTATTTTCCATTTTATGAGTTGAGATAGAGTAACATGTTTATTATCCTGAGAGGAGGACTAATTCTAAGACATTTTTTCCTAAACTTTAGCATAGAGACTCATAGATTACAAAATCTTTATCACTGACATCTACACGACTTTGGCATCGGTATAGTAGTATACCTTCCATACTCTCTGCTCTTTTTGCTTTTAGATCTTCTTCGACCTGTTTACACAATCTAACATTAAATTCCTTTGACCCTCCAAACAATTACTCAAATATTCAAGTTTACTTACAACAGTTAGTGCCATTTCAGAGTTGTTCTGGATACCAATTGCTTCCTTGATCTGTATGACCTCAGTTTCTAACGAGTAAACACGTTCTAGGACTTCCGGATTGCTCACAAATCGAACAAACCTAACGACAGCAACAAAGAAAAGACTCCCATTTCAATCTAAATGTCCAATATCAACCCAAGAAGTTCCATATGAAGACAATCTATATGGAATAAAACCTTTCAATTGTTCCTTTAGTGAACCAAGCTGCATTGTCACTATCCTCAGGCTTGAGAATAATCGAGTAGCCACCTTTTGCCACTTGATCTTGTGCAGTCTTCAGGTGAGCAAGAAAAGGATCAATCAACCCTGTAGCTATTTTCTCTGTCTTTCCATTAGCTGTTACCAACAAATCACACCTGAAAACACCCCCACGAAGAGAGTTAAAATTACCGTTCTAAACTGAAATATTCAACGACTTTTGATCTTATCAAAGAGCCTCAAAAATTCAATCTTTCGGTTTTTCTCAAAAAAGTTAGCGACTTTACAGTTTCTTAACATCTTAGCTAACACATTTTGGATCAATTACAATTTCAACAGCTTTTGTGATCTATTGAGGAACCCCAAAAAAAATGGAATTTTTCTACTTTCAAAGGAACTAATTTCTCACAAAAGCTAGCGACTTTACGGTTTCTAAAACAGAGTTTTAACATCTGAAGTAAACATTTTGGATCAATTACAAATAAAGAGAGAAAGAGAGAGGGATTACTATACCGGGTTCGAGTGGGAGTGAGCTGAAAAACAACTGAATCAAGCCGAGTCGAAGATTTCATCGCAAATCTCAAAACTTTTTCAGATTAAATCATCCGAAGAAGAATCCCACAAAACGGTGAAGAACTAAATAAAAGACGAGAAGAACTCGAAATGTCTCAAAAACCGCGTTATTGAGAGAAGCCACAAATTGCAGAAAATCCAAATTAATAAGTGGGGAAAGGAAATCAATCAGACGGAGAAGGAGAGAGAGAAGCTTGTCTTCATTTTCTGCTTTGGATTCCAGCTGGTAGAGTGAGAGAGAGTGTGTGTGTGTGTGTAATCTGCGAATTTTCCGAGGAAATGTAGGGATCAAAAATAAAACCAAGAAAAAATTCAGGGGCATAATCGAAATTTCGTAAGTAATAATTAGTGTGAGTATATATGTCATCTCCTCGAATGCTCAATTATACTATAGTAACAACATGGGTAACAACAACATTCATGGCATGGACTCACCTTAAACCTCTCAACGGTAATGTCGATTTTATATTTTATCAAAACAAACAATCGTAAAGACAATGATTATATGGTTTGAGTTATTAAAAAAATTAACAGCAACGTACATGTAAAAGAAGAAAAAAATAGAAACTAAAATGGTTTGAGAAGTTGTTTTGATAAGTTTGGGCACTTGTGGTCGAGTGGTAAGAATACAAAATAGAGGCGTCTAACACATTTCTAATTCGATTAATCTGCTCTGTGAAATTAAAACACACATTACTTTGGACACCTACACAAATATGAACTTTTGTTTTTTATTCATTTACATAGCTGCATATTCCTAATATTCGTTTCGGCTCTTCACAAACCTAATTTTACCCTGAATTATAAACAAAGATTTTGATTAGGAAGAGGAATTAAACACAAAATTAGAGTGATTTATATTCAGAGGCACATTTGACTTTCAAACTTACAAAAAATGCACTTATTACTCTTAGGTGATTGTGGTTCTACAATTACAAAAAACACCCTTTTTTACCTTGTTATTTTATTACACAATCGAAATTTTTTACCTTCTCCTCGTTTCCGCTCTCTTCTCCTCCAGAAAATTAAATGGCAAGAAAAACTGAAAACCCTAAAAACACCGACTTTCTACTCCACCTTGCCATCCACCAGTACCACCGCGTTGAGTACTTACGGATTTCAATAGCTGCATCCCACGAAAAAGAAGCCCTCTCCTTTTCTCTCTCAAGGGTTGCTAGGTGAATCCGTTTTCTCCTCTACAAAAATTCAGGGAAGGTGATTGTAATCTTACACTCGGTTAACATTTTTAAATTAAGCGCTAGGTTATTGAGACTGTGTATAATCTTAAGGAAAGAACGATTTAGATGTTTTTATTTTTTATTTTTTAATTTCTCACAGGAGCGAAGTTTCTGTGGAAGATTTGGGGCTTCTTCGGCGGTTGCTGAAAACGGATCACTTCCCTAACCGGAGGCTGAACAATTATTCAAAGCCTAATATCATCTCTTTTGTCAAGATATCATCCCTTTAGTCACCTAAATTTTCAATGTCCAACCCAAACCTTCCCTAGCCACTAACATCCTCACTAAAGCGGCTTCTTTTCATCGTCGGTTTATGTGTTGTATAACCGTCGGAAGGCTCATCCACCTCAGAGTGGGGGAGGGGGTACATGTGACTCGTTTGGCGAAGGTAGCAAACAGGTTCATTGTATGCTTGACACTGTAATGCTTGCAGAAATAGGATATGGAAGCAACACTCGTTACCATGACAAGAGGGGTTGTAATCTCAGTTGCAAGCTCGTTTGTGTTGGGTGACCAACAGCTTAAATCGAAAGTCATCCCACAGCCACCACCACCAAAGAATTCTCCCAATACGTTTTTCTTCAGTTCCTCGATACTCATGCCATCACATGCGACATGCGTTGTTTGTCGAGAAGGAAATCTCATTTCCATCTGAAGAACACCTCCATTCAAGGTTGATAACCATACAATAGTCACCCATTTAACCTGGAACTCTTGTTCTTGAATATACTAAGAACACAATGAAACACAAATCTATACGAAAGCACACAAAAACATGTTGCTAACCAAACTTAACTTTTATTGGGGAAGTAAGAGAAAACTTTTCCCCATCAACAATGATTAGGTGGATGCTGTTATGGCCGGAAGATTAAGAGGTAATTATTATTGGAAACAATCCAAGGACCAGTTTTGAATTACATTTTTTCCCGTAAAGTAGTTGTCTCTCTTAAACCAAAATTGTTAATGCCAACTATGGCCCATTACTTTTTATTCTCGTTCGTCCATATGTACAACGGATTATGTACGAACCCACAGTAAGACGGGAAGATAACAGTGTTCTTTTATACGACTTTAGGGACATGACCAAATAAGACTTAACATTTTCTTAATAACATGTGTATCGTTGACAGTGCCTTGTAATCTTAATGGAGTGTTTATGGATAAACATTGCCCCGTCACTTTATGGATACTACACATGAGGTTTTGAGTCCATGGTATCTTATCCACGACCACTTAAATGTACATGTCGTGTTCACTGCCCCATCCCCTGATAACCAGTTAAGTATGTTCGCTAGTCCATTACGACCTGTTCATTAAATTAAGTCCAACTGTCTCCATCCAAGATGATATTTCGCCAACAGACGTACATTGTGTACTCTTGTCCATACGTAATAATCTACGTCGTCGGATGGTTGACAACAGTGATACTCCCCCTCCCCCCCCTCCCCTCCTTGTTTCCCCAATTCCCTTTTAAATCGTGGAGTGGATTTGGAAAAAATAAATATTGGTAGCTTTCTTCAGCATTCTCATGGATTTATCGCGGTCCAAGAACTTCTTCTTCTTAACCTCGCTCGTGCTCATCCTCCGACATAGTTGTCGAGTTACTTTGGGGAGTTGAGGCTTTGATTTCAGAAAGAGTTGCCGCGGTGAAAGTAATTTTATCTTCCCTTCACGAGAAAGCGTATTTCGACAACATTGTTAAAAGGGCAAATAGTTTTATAAAATTTCATTTGATTTTAGTTTTTCGCCATTGGTTCAATCCCGTCTTGAATAACTTGAGTAGGGAGATTTGGGATCTATATGAAAACCAAAACAAATTTGATTTGCATCAGTTCCTATGTCGTAGTTCAGGACTGGAGCCGAACAAAAAATATTACAAAAAAAAAAATTAAAATAAATATGGATTTCGCAATCTATAAAGTATCTTTTCTCGACCGGGTTATTCTAACATTTCTTCTCATTATCATAAAAAGACAAACAATTTTAAAAATTTCAAAGCTTTAATTCAAGATCTATAAAATTGTTTTTGCGGACGCCCATGACAGCTGCTGGCAACTCTTGCTCCAATTGTTGAATGAGCGGCAAAGTGTGGATTTCATCTTTCGATGACATCCCTTCTTCCAAGGTTTGCAAGTGAGATTGAGATCGCCTCTGATTTCGACGAGGTCGCGGCTCCAATTGTGAGTGCGTTGGATAGCCAATAACAAAATTAGTGTTATTGTTATTGGTTATGGAAGAAAATCGGGGGGATGGATAAGGGTAACCATAATTTAAGCGTGAAGAAGAAATTTCTTCATATTCAATGATTTGATTATAAGTACGACAGTAGAATCTATGACGCCTATTTGTAGATGACATGATGTTTTGAGAGAGAGGGATTAGAGGACGAGGGATAAAAACCATATAGAAGAACAACATGTATATATAGCCAAATGAAAGGACATAATAGTTATTGAATAATAAATAAATAAATAATACTTAAAAAACAAAGAAAAAACATTGTTAGAAAAAATCTTATTTCCAGTTCATCAAGATATTTTTAAATTTTATTACCAAAATTATATATTCTAATTATTTTATTGCAAAAGTTAAATTTGTCTCGTTTCTCTTTATCTCTCCTCTCTTCTTCGTCATTCATTTATCTTTTTCTGCCTCAAGTTGGTTTACTATGTATGTGTCTAAATTTAATGTTAAAATTTGTTTTTTTTTTCTGAAATTTTGTGACTAATTTAAATTTTATGATTTTTGTGAGTCTTTAATGATTTATAGAACAGATAATATATTCGATAAAATATTCAAATTTAACGAATATTCGATTAGCAACAAACTAATTTAACAAATATTCGGCTAGTAAAGACACAAATATAAGTCCAAAAAAGAAAGAAATCTTCTCAAAAAGAAAAGAATCTATACAAACTAATTTTCTTTTTACATTTTTATTTTTGGTGATAATTTCTATAAGAAAAGATTCACCAATGATTTAGTGTAAAATAATGTTAGAAATAATGATTATTAGTTAAAGATACATATGTATACACTATTTCTAAAAAGTTATTTTATATTTTTGAAAAATAGACAGCCAAGTCTATCTCAATGTTTAATATTAAATTGTAAATTATTTATTTATTTAGCTTTCAACTTTTAAAAATTTCAATTAATTATAAATTTGATATATTTAAATAATCCGTGTGGGGCGAGTCAGATGAGGCAGGTCTGTCAATCGGGTCAAACCTGCCTCACCTGACTCGCCCCACACGGGTCATTCATTTTTTTGACTCCGCCAAGTTTTTGAACATAATTTTTTCGACTTGCAGCCGCCCCGCTTAAATCTGCGGATACCCGCGGATAACCATTTTTTTGCGAATAACCTGCCAATCCTATTAGATATAATACTTATACCCGCCTCCGTCCCGCATTTTCGAAATCCCTGTCCGCATGACTGGCATTGGTGAAACGGGGGCGGGACCGCAGATCAAGTCACAAATTGACAGGCCTAGGAGGAACGAACAGAATATGAGGTTGCAAAAAAAAAAAAAAAAAACTTAAGCGTTTCCTTCTTTATAAAAACCTTTTGTAAGTAAACTCAAGGCATTTACTCAAGAGCTTGAGTTAAAGGAAAAAACCATATATTTATCACATATAAGTTTTAGTCAATCATGTTTGTTTTATTCCTTAAAATTAGGAAACCGACAATTTCGCAAAATAAAAACAGAGTAATCATAATTCCATCCACTCACTCATTGTAAGGCCTCTCTCACTTCCTCTTCCCATTCCCAATGCTGAGTAGCTCAAGGCTCGGGACCGGCATGTTGTCACGAGTAGTCCTAGATGGCGCAGCTCGGGCGAAAGAAGAAGACGATGGTCTAGTGGTCGGGTCAGGAACAAGCTGAGTCCTTTGAGCGGTTGAGGAACGGCCATTGTTTGGGACAACTCTGCTCGAGCGGTTCTCTGTGAAATCAGCTGAAGAAGTGGCTCGAACGCTCGAGACAATGGCTTTTCTTGAAGAACTTGCGTGTCTTGTTGACGAGATTGGTCTTTCGACTCTCTCGTAGTTTTGCTGGTTTCAATCAAGAAGGATTATTCATTGTTTAAAAGAAAGGATATCAAGAGCATAGAAAATGCTATTTTAGATGACTCACTGGTGTTGTTGCGTCCTTTGATGCTGCTAATACATTCTCTGATGTTCTTGGTCTAGATCGATCAGCTTGAACCGCGCCACTTCCTGAGCCATTCCTTCTAGCGTATGCCTCTAAAGCACCCGAGAATCTATCGCGACTGTCTTGTCCAGCAGCTGTACACACACAAAAAAAACAGCACACAAGTTCGGTTTATTATATGTCTGCATTTCATCAAAAGCCAAACTACGAGAAGAGAATGTGCAGCAACAAATAAATTCTTCAACCATGTGACTGGTTCTGTAACAACAGTACTCAATCAAGACTGGAACTGAATCGTCTAAGCGTTACCTGAAGGCTTTTCTGGTCTCTCGGCAGATGGTACTGGAGGATTCAGAGCTGGTCTAAGGCTTGACTGTTGGAACACATAGACATACGTGAGTACTTAAGAATATGCTCTAAAGGATTTAAAAGGATGAGATGTTACTTACTCTTGGTTTGGAGCTTGAGCTGGAGCTAGAGCCGAACTGTGGATACTTCAAGATTGTCCAGTCAAATACATAGTCAAACTGATAACCTGCAAATAACAGGTTTTTTTTTTCTGTGAGAATCGTCAAGCATAAGGTAAAACAAAATAAGGAAATTCAAGACTTGTTCGCAACCTTCTCGGATGAAGAGATCCCTGAAAAGCCTCTTCAGGTATGGATAATCAGGTTTGTCTTCAAACCGCAATGATCGTACATAGAGAAAGTATGATGTGAACTCAGGTGGAAAGGATTTACAAAGAACCTGCCAGGGAACAGTTATATTGTATCAATGAATGCAACATTTTGGTAAGTAGAGGATTCAATACAGGTTTATTGAGATATAGATGAAAAATGGATTAGGAAGTAATACCTCTACGGGTGTCAGCCTTTTCTTTTCGCTGATCTTGTCATACTTCTGCTTTTTGGTACCCGCACGAAGGCCTTGCCAAGGAAGACTAGCGAGAGAAATTGAGGTTAAGGATGAATATCTATACCTCAAACGGAAGCAAATTAAAGAAGGAATGGGTAATATAGGGATGTATATACATACCTTCCTCGAAGAAAATACATAAGCACATAGCCAAGAGATTCCAGATCGTCCCTCCTACTTTGCTCTGTATAAAAATCTCAGTTAAGAATTTGAAATTCGATGGAAGTATAGAATGTCAAGTGCATCACAAAAATATGAAAAGCAAACAACACTCACCAATTCCAAGATGAGTGTTAACACTTGCATATCTCGCTGTTCCAGTAAGATTCTTGTTTTCCCTAAAATGTAAATCTCGATTAGCAATATTCCTTTAACACTCTAAAATGTTTAGCCGCGCAAAATCTTTCAACAAGAGATAGCATAAATATGTACCTGTAAGGAATGTGCCTATGAGTTTGAAGATCTCTGTACTTTTTCGCAAGCCCGTAGTCAATGATGTAAACCTATTCAAGAACAAAAACGACATATTAAGAGACTGGTTACAGAATGTGAGGTAGCAGCAAAAGAGCAGTGAAAGAAATCTCCAAAACGAAACAAGTATTATCCTTTCACACACAAAAAGGTTTGCATACCATAACTACTCACCTGGTTTGCTTTGCGTCCAAGACCCATCAAAAAGTTATCTGGCTTTATATCACGATGAAGGAATCCCCGGACATGCATATACTCAACTCTATTTATCTGAAATATGAAACAAGTAAAGCAAATGTAATAACCTCAAAATCTATCAGCAAAACAAAAAGAGAAGAGAATTAGCTCATACCATCTGATCCGCGAGCATTAGAACCGTCTTTAGATTGAACCTCCGACTACAATAATTAAATAAATCCTCCATGCTAGGGCCCAAAAGGTCAATCACCATGCAGTTGTATTCACCCTCCACACCGTACCATTTCAGGTGTGGTATACCAGCTTCAAGAAAACAAAGTGTAAAGATACATAAAAAAACGAAGATGATCCAAGAACAAAAACACTCAAGGCAAAAACTCTTACTTCCTCCTTGAAGAAGCATGTAGAGCTTTGACTCATAATGAAGCTGCGGATGCCTAGCTCGTGCAGGTTCCTTGCAAACAAAAAAAGAGGCAACACAGCGTCACATACAAATCCTTGATTAACGTTGAAACCACAATATTGAATCAAAAGAAGAGGTCAACGTTGTGACTTACAAGCTTTACAGCTACTTCTTCTCCAGTTTGCACATTCACCCCTGAAAACAAAACAAGTTGAGAAGAAGGAAATTACTAAAGGAAACTTGAAAATTAACATAAACAAGAAAGAAACTTTGAATACCTAGAAAAAGTTCACCAAATGATCCACTTCCAAGTTTACGTCCCAGCTTATACTTTCCACCAACCACACGATCCATTGTTTTTCCCCAAAACCCAATTCAAATCAAAAGTAGCCTTCTTTCTCCGATCTAATTTGACCCTAATTCACCTCAATTCGAGCCCGAGAAAGCTGATTCGATCTCTTAAATCTTCAAATCCCTAGAAAACCCCAAGTTGACCCAGATCTCCAATCGTATCCTCTAGCTCGCTGAAAGCCTGATCGAAGAGATGATACTACCCAGATCGAATTCCAAAAGACCCCTAATTTCAGAAGATTACCCCAGTAAGAGAACTGGATATTCCAGTAAGAACCCTTCAAATTCAAAATCACCGCAAGACCAAATCCACGCTCCAATCGCTGAATCGATCAAAGTGTTTGACCCAAACTCGATTTGCGAATTTCACAAAGTAATCTAATTGATTGATGAGCTACGCTTCTTCTATAAACCAGACTAGAATTTACCCATTGACCTTCATCGTCGTCGAAAAGCTCTATTTTTTTCTGACAAAGTTTCAGATCAGGTTACAGAAAAAAACAAAACCGAAATGAAACGGAAGAAGAAGAAGAAGAAGAAATTAGGGTCTTCGGATTCGACGATTATCGTCTGATCTAGGGCTCTGCTAAAAAAAAAACAGCTTTTGATGCAAGTAGTTTTGTTTTATACTTCCCAGGGAAAACAAAATCTGATTTTTTTTCTAGGGGGAGATAATGAATCAGAGACGAAACCAAACGTTACAAGAAAAAAATAAGAATGAAATCTGATGAGACGGCCTTAAGAGATTTTCTTTCCTTATCCCTAATTTGTTACTTTTGTGTTTTTGCTTAATAGCTTAAACTAATTTGTCTTTTTTTTCTACGAAATAATTATTCAATACAAGTAAGTAACGTCACCGTATTAAAACCATATGATAATAACAATATTTATTGCTTTTTAAAAATAAAATTTAGTAGTTGGATTTGAATGTTCTGTAGCATCTAAAAATAAAATGAAAATGTTCTGTAGCATAGCTATCGAAATTACTGATTCTCACCGGCAATAACTTTTTTTTTTTAGTTTTCATTCCAAAGCGAAACAAATATATTTTGAATGTAGTCTTCTTTTCTCCTCCTTTCTTCACACAATCATATACAAATTGTGTTTTTGTTTTGGATAAGACCTTTTCTTCAAGAACAATGTCAAACATATAATGACATGCATTTCCTACAAAGACAGCTACGAATTTTGTTTAAATATTAAAATAGCACTTGAAAAAACAAGTATTATTCGAGAAAAAAAGGTAAACATTGAGTTGGATTAGGGACGTTTACCTACAAAGTTCTCTTGCATCTTTTCAAGGTGTGTTTTCCGTATTGGAAACGTTTTTAAAACAGAAATTTGCGAAGACCTGTTGGAAACTCATTTTTCTAAATTTCCTAAAATCTTAAATTTGGAAACTTGATGGACACGTGAAAACGTGTGTTTCACGTTTCAAAAATTGATAAAAACTTACTTCTTGTTTTTAAAATTATAATAATTAAAGAAATAAGAAATAAACAATCAGATCAACTGATTAATTTAACTAATTAAGATAATATAATTATTAATCAAAAATAATTTAGTTTTTAATATGATTTATGAATGAAATTAATCTTAATATTATATATTGAGTTTGAAAATCTTTCTCACATCGCATTGAAGATAGTTTTGATTGATAGAACTTATAATAATAATAATATAAAATATTTTTAAAGTTTTGATATTAAATATTATGGTATTTATTTATCTTTAGTTAAACTATATATAAAATTTTAACACGTTTCCAAACTTATATTTTTCAAAATGCATATTTTCTGTTTCGAAACGTTTCAATTCTCCGTTTTCCATACTATGAAAAACTGTAGGTCATAGGCCTGGGACTTCGGGTCCCCATTCAGGTTCGGTTGGGGTTACTTTGGGTTTTGGGTTTTCAGGTTTATAACTATAAGTTTAGTTCGAGTAATTTTATTTTTTGGGTTGGATTCGGTTCGGTTTTGGTCGGGTTTGAATACCTGAATTATGCAAAAAAAAAAATTAAATGAAATTTTTAAATTTGTAGAAATATACTTGATTTTGACATATATAACTAAAATTTTAGATATTTTGAGGTATTTAGTCGATTTTGGTGTAAATATAACTAATACATTTAGTTAGTTTATAATTGTAATTTTATGTATTTTGTTTATTTCAAACATATATATAAATAATATTTTTGATTATGTAATTATATTTCGGCTACTTCGGGTTTTTATAAGGGTTCGGTTTATTGTGGGTTCGGGTCGGGTTCGGTTAAACCTTGCTATTTACATGGGCTTAGATATTTGGGCTTTATTAATGGAAAACTCGGCCCATTATGATAATACGATAAGCGTAATCTCCACGTTCGAGATTATTAGATGACGTGGCATCACAGAGCTCATCATCACCAATAAATAAACCACTGACCAGCTTCACGCCTTGAAGCTATCTCTCTCTAGACTGATAAATCACGATCCCAATTTTATTTTTCCCCGGCGATATTTCCCGATCTCGATAAAATGGCGAAGGATCCAGTTCGTGTTCTTGTCACCGGAGCTGCAGGTAACTTTATATATCTCCGATCTAGTGTATTATCTCTTTGGTATCGGGTTCTCCGGTTACCCAACGCAAAGTTATTGATTCGTTTCGTCAGATCTCAATCTATGAAATATAATATTGTTGGATCCTACTGTGAGATCTCGGCGGAGAAATCGATTGGATCTCAACTTAGCTTTAGAAAATGTATAGTTCTAGGCTTCTAGCTCCGATTACGTCTGAGTGATTCCTTCTACATGCGAGATCTGTTATTTTTTAAAAGAAAATGACATTTTCGATGAATTATATTGATTTGTTTTTCATTTTGGGCTACGCAGATCATGATTTTGCAACTTTTTAGTTTAGCGATTGTGGATAGAGCCATATTTGAAATGTGATTCTACTATTGTTCAGGGCAAATCGGATATGCTCTTGTTCCTATGATTGCAAGAGGGATAATGCTTGGTGCAGACCAACCTGTGATCCTCCACATGCTTGATATCCCTCCTGCAGCAGAAGCTTTGAACGGTGTGAAAATGGAGTTGATCGATGCTGCTTTCCCTCTTCTCAAAGGTACGTTTGAGTTATTTGATGATCAAAATACGGTTTTGTTGCTCGAGGCTGGAATGTAACGTTTGCGTTTTGGTACCAAAATGTCTGCTTGAGCTGTTGAAAAGTCTACTTTGTATATGATTTTGTTATATGGAATGATCTCAAAGAATACAGACATAAAATCTGGAGTCTCTATGAATATAAACTCTAAATTTTGCACACTTGGGATAATGGTTTTGTTGCTAGAGGCTAAAATGTGATGTTTTGTGTTATTCTTGTGACAGGCGTGGTTGCTACCACCGATGCCGTTGAAGGGTGTACCGGTGTGAACGTCGCTGTCATGGTTGGTGGTTTCCCGAGGAAAGAAGGTATGGAGAGGAAAGATGTCATGTCCAAGAACGTTTCCATTTACAAGTCTCAAGCTGCTGCCTTGGAGAAGCATGCCGCACCAAACTGCAAGGTGATAATGATACAAGTCTCTCAAATCTTTTCTTGTAGCCGTTAATGCAGAAAATGTATTGGTATTTATTTATCTTCTCTCTGCGTTTTTATTAGGTTCTGGTTGTTGCAAACCCTGCAAACACCAACGCGTTGATCCTCAAGGAGTTCGCACCTTCGATCCCGGAGAAGAACATCACTTGCTTGACAAGGCTTGACCACAACAGGGCGTTGGGTCAGGTCTCTGAGAGGTTAAGCGTGCCGGTGTCTGATGTCAAGAACGTGATCATCTGGGGAAACCACTCATCGACCCAGTACCCTGACGTCAACCACGCCACCGTCAAGACTTCTTCTGGAGACAAGCCTGTGCGCGAGCTAGTCAAGAACGACGACTGGTATAAAAAAACTATAAAACCCTCCTTTAACATCTCAGTCTAGTCTTGGTCTAGGCAATCCTCAAACTTGTTATAACTAATAATGTTTGTAGGTTGAATGGAGAGTTCATCTCTACCGTTCAACAACGTGGAGCTGCCATTATCAAGGCCAGGAAGCTTTCTAGTGCACTCTCTGCAGCTAGCTCAGCTTGTGACCATATCCGTGATTGGGTCCTTGGTACACCCGAGGTTCGTCATATCAGCACTATTTGATATCGGATGCAGTTTCATTGTTTGTGTACTAAAAATACTTTCTTTTGATTCAATTTCGCAGGGAACATTTGTTTCAATGGGAGTGTACTCTGATGGATCATACAACGTTCCATCTGGACTTATCTACTCCTTCCCTGTAACATGCCGTAACGGAGAATGGTCTATTGTACAAGGTAAAACCTTGAAACCAAAGTAAAACTAAAATGTTTAAGAATTAGGGTTTGGAGAAGGTTCTGATGTGTGTTGTTTTGTTGTCTACAGGTTTACCGATAGATGAAGTGTCGAGGAAGAAGATGGATTTGACAGCAGAAGAGTTGAAGGAAGAGAAGGATCTTGCTTACTCATGCCTCTCTTAAACCGGTTTTTATAAGCCGGTTTAATCGGTGGGAGATTTACAAGAGCTTTGGTTTCGAATAAAAGAACTTTGTTATAAAAAAAACTTTGAGTTGACCTCTTGAGAGGTTAAAGAGCCGTACTTGTTTTGTTCTGTTTTAAATTTATGATGTGTTTGCTGATCTGTCTGACCATATAAACCAGCATTTTGATCATTGATCTCTTTCGGTTTTGGCTTTGGTTTTTTACTTGGCTGGAAAAAAAAAGAACTCGAAATTGTTTTGTTAGCTAGGGCTTTTATTTGGGCCAAAACTTTGTTTTCTGGCTTAAGTTAAATGTTAGTGAAAATTAAATAGCGTATGAACTGCAGTTTAAGAACTTTTATGATGTCAGAAAACAAAACTAAAAAAGTGAAACAATTTTTTCTTATAAACCAAATCGATTTTCTTTTACAAAATGCAATGGTTAAGGGTATGTACATTCATATGCAAAATACAATCATTTAACCCTCCAGTCATCTAAAATTCGAGTGGTATCCAAAGCCTCGCACTTAAACCTACTTAATATTCAAACGATATTTGCCTAACCTTCTTGGTTCCAAGTTCCAATGATCAACAAGAAAAGTTCCTAGAGATTGAAAGCCGAGCCTTCTTCGGCTGCGGTTAAGAGACATAACAGAATCATGAGCTACTACGATAACACAACCACAACACGTCAACACATTTCTTGTTCGTTAATGTTCCAAGGGAAGAATTTGCAAGATATTCAAGATTTTACGTTATCAGTTATCTTATTAAAAAAAATAGGACAGGTGAGAGAGTAAAAACTTTTCGTTGTTTTGTATTAGGAATGGGAAAAATAAAATATTTAAGATATCAATTAATACTTTTAATAAAATTATATAAATTTCATTAAAGAAAACATAATACTAGTAGGAATACTGAGAAAGTAAACAAAAAAACCCGAGCACCAAAATCTGATAAAACCAATACAAAAAAAAATCCTAACAAACCACGATACCTAAGGAAATTAAAACTAAAATTAAAAAAAAAAAAAAATCTAAACAACAATCTTCTCCTGGATTTTCTCCGGTGCAGATTCGCCGGACATTTCCTCAAGCGATCTTCCCTTAGGCTCCGGAACAAGGAACGACATACACATGCCAACAAAACTGATAGCTGCCAGGATCAGTAACGTAATCCTTATCCCCACAGCCTTCACCAAAGCAGCAAAACCGAAAGAACCAACCATCGCACCGGCTTTACCGGAAGCCGCCGAGATACCGTGACAAGTCGCCCTAAGCCTCGCCGGGAAAATCTCAGCCGGGACAATGAAAGTAGTTGCGTTAGGTCCGAAATTGCAGAAGAAGAAAGTGAGAGAGTAGAGAACAACGAAACCGATTCGGTTATGCGGCAAGGTCCAGTGGTGGTACGGTAGGGCTAAACCTACCAAGCAAACCGTCATGAAGAAGAACCCCATGATCTGAATCTTGAACCGTCCTATCCTGTCGATGAGACCTACGGTGAACCAGTAACCAGGAACGGTGCCGCAAAGAGCGATGTAGAATTGTGCCCTAGCGATGATGAAGAGTTCTTGGATCGCGTTCATGGATTTCGCCGGAGGTAACCAACCGATGGTGGTGAAGATGTCCTTCTGGAAGAGGTTTTGGCTGTAGAAAGCAATGTCGAGGAGGAACCATGTGGTTGTCGTGGCGAGCAAGTGAAGCCCGTGGCGTTGTAGGAATTTCTTGGAGAACAAGCCAAACTCGTCTGAAGAAACACTAGCTATGTCATTGGTTGCGGAGGAGGCTTCAATGTCTACGTGGAGGACTTTAGACATGTCAGAAGCCGCTTGCTCCGCGTTCTTGGAGATTAGAGCGGTGTAACGAGCAGTTTCAGGCATCTTCACACGCCAGTAGTAGGTCAAGAGAGCCGGCACAGCGCCTAGAATGAGGATGATCCTCCACACGTAATCTGCCTCAGGGACGGTGGAGTGGGCCTGGTCGAGCATGTAGGGTTTAGACGGAAAATAACGCTCGAAAAGAGCCGAGACTCCTATCGAAACCCCTGATGCGGCCAAGATCCCAAACCCTTGCATGGCGAAGACAGCTGCGATGAACGCGCCACGTGTACGTTTGTTGGCGTACTCGGACATGATCGTAGCCGAGAGAGGATAGTCACCACCGATGCCAAAACCGAGCCAGAAGCGGAAGAAGCAGAGAGTTATCATGACGGTTTTAGGGTCTTTTCCAAAGGAGAGACCAGAGCAAATAGAGCATAAGACCATGATGACGAGGGTCAACCCGTAGACTCTCTTACGGCCGAGCTTGTCACCGAGACACCCGAAGAAAATCTGTCCGAGAAACGTTCCGGCAAAGGCCACGCCGCTCACGGCGGAAGTGATGGCGTCAGGAAGGCTTCCGGGAGAGGAGGAGCCAGGTGTCTGGTAGTAGATCCGGCCAAGGAGCTTCGTGACGAGAGATATCACGAAGAGATCGTATGAGTCTGTGAAGAAACCCATACCGGAGATTACAATCGTCGTGAAGTGGTACCATTGAGTCTTTGCACCGTCAAGGGATTTCAAGATGCTGCCTGTTCTTTCGTTCACCATGTTGATTTAGTTTGTTGCTCTCTTAGCTCTGAAAACAAAACAAGCGAAAGAATTGTTTAAAATATATATGCTGAGAGAGTTGTTGCAACAAAAAAGAAATACGATTCTAGTTGGAGAAGGATTTGGACTAATAGTTATACTACGTTTTAGGAAAAAAAAAATCTATCAACAAACTGTTCCAAAAATTATTGCGATGAAAAAGATTCAACACAAAAAGATCATGCACATGGTTTCTCTCATGCAACATTCATGATTCATCGAACAAACTAGTTTCCGTATTGAAACATCTGATAATAGTTGCAGTTAAACAAATATATGTATTAGTATTGTTTTGAAATTAAATATAGGGAGGAATGAAGAGATTACCAACAAGTGACCAGATCCTGAAAGAAAGACTCGTTTCTCTTTTCGGCTTAAGCTTTAGGTTTGATCTTGAGGGTTTATAACTTTATATATATAGCGATAGAGATGAGAGCACAATAGCATATTCTAAGGAATAGAATTATCGTACGAGTGAAAAAGTAAGAGAGAATAATGCCAAAATAATGTTTGTTTTATGACTGATTAACTCTAACAAATTTTATTTTTCATAATATATATATTCTCGATAAATATCGGAAGTTTTGTTGATTATATCCGATAATAAAATATTGTAACTGAGGATATTCCCTTCGAGATCGTTAACCGCCTCAGTTAGAAATAAATAGATAACAAAATAAATTCCTTAATGTAATAAACGAAATTCAATAACAATTAAATATTTTGATAAAAACACATTAATTGTTTTTGAATATATAATTAAAAAGCTATTTTTTTTTTTTTATTAAAAACCTAATCAACCATGTACGCAACAAAATGTTAACTAAGATCCATTCTCTTACAATTTAAAAACCAGAACCGTAAGCCAAAAACTATTGAGGTTTTAGAAAAGTATGAAATGAAATGATCGAGGTTTTAGAAAAGTGAGGCCGAAAAGGAAGAGAAGGGAAAAAAAAAAAAAATCCAAATAGACCCAATAATCAAATATGAAATGAGGCCCAATAATCATAGCTTATGCCGTATTCTTACAAGTTACAACATCGTAACTTCAAGGTCAGCGTACAAATAATATGAAAACAAAACATATCACACTCCAAATATAAAACTGAAAATGGAAATAAATAGTTTCAACGTCAGAAACCAATAACTAATTTCATTGTGATCATTTCTCAGCCTCAGTCTCGCCGGAGAGTTCTTCAAGAGACTTTCCTTTGGGCTCGGGAACAAGGAAGGTAAAGAGCATACCGATGAAGTTAATGACACCAAGCATGATCAAAGAGTTCTTGACTCCGATGCCCGGTGGATATCCTGCGTCCGTCTTGGTCTTGTCTTGTGGCTGAGCTGCGTATAGGAACCCAAAAGCTCCCACGATGGCTCCAGCCTTACCTGTTGCGGCTGATATTCCGTGGCATGTGGACCTTAGCCTGGCCGGGAAGATTTCAGCAGGACAATGAAAGTGGTTGCGTTTGGTCCAAAGTTGGCGAAGAAGAAAGTGAGAGAGTACATAACCACAAATCCAATACGGTTGTCCGGTTTGATCCAGTGGTTGTAAGGGAAGGCAATGGCAAACATGAACACGGTCATCATGAAGAATCCCATGAGCTGGATCGCAAATCTTCCCATGATATCAATAAATGCAACTGTGAACCAGTAACCAGGGACGGTACTACAGAGCGCAATGAGAGTTTGTGCCCTACCAATCTTGTAAACCTCATGGATGCATTCATGGTGCTGCCTTTGGGATCCATCCAATAGCCGAAAAGATATCCTTCTGGAACAAGTTTTGGCTGTAGAAGGCAATGTCAAGCAAGAACCAAGTGGAGGTACATCCGAGGAGGGGAAGACCATGGCGTCTGGCGAATTCCTTGGAGAACAAGCCATAGTTAAGTCTAGGGTCTTGAACGATATCCTCCGCCCTCTCTTCCATCTCAAGCTCCACTTGTAAGACCTTGACATGTCTTGTGTGGCTTGTTTGATGTTCTTGGCACCAAAGCGGTGTAACGAGCAGTTTCAGGCATCTTCATACGCCAGTAGTAAGTCAAGGCTGCTGGTAGCGCACCAAACATGACAATAATTCGCCAAATGTAATCAGCTTGAGGAGGCGTTGAGAGAACCCTGTCTTCAGCATAGGTCGGTGATGGGAACTGTTTGTCGAATATGGAAGAAACGGCAAGAGCCACGAAACCTCCGGCCAAGATACCGATACCTTGCATAGCGAACACGGCCGCGATGAAAGCACCACGAGTCTTCTTGTTGGCATATTCAGACATGATGGTGGCAGAAAGAGGGTAGTCGCCGCCAATGCCAAAACCGAGCCAAAACCTATACGTAACCACCCATATATTATTAATCTCTCCAGTTTGTAGCCGCAATTTGTATGATATCAAGTCGACGGCAAGAATAGTTTTAAACATAATTATTGTACGTACCTGAAAAAGCAAAGGGTTGTCATGACTCCCTTGGCTTTGTTTCCGAAAGACAGACCAGAAGCAACGGAGCAGACAATCATCATAATCAAGGTGATACCATACACTTTTTTCCTTCCGAGCTTGTCACCGAGCCATCCGAAAAAGAGTTGACCCATAAGTGTCCCACAGAGAGCCACACCGTTGACGGCGGCCGCAACATGAGGGGGAAGACTGCCAGGCTTCTCTGACGCCGGATTGAAGTAGTAGAGACGGCCAAGGAGCTTTGTCACCAGGGAAACGCAAAAAAGATCGTACGCGTCTGTAAAGAATCCCATACCGGCGATGACAATCGCCGTGAAATGGTAAAGTTGCGTTTTCGCAACATCGAGTGCCTTCAGCACTCCTAGTTGTTGTTCAGCCATTGCCTTGAGCTCTACAACCAAACAAGGTAAATTATCCAGTTTAGTTCAATAGTGATAAGTTCCGTTGTGTAAATGTATGGAAAAGAAGAATCGTTTGTAAGTTTCTCCTTTATATAAAAAGAAAATCATTGGCTAGTTTTTTAAAATCATTGGACGTTCTCCGTATATACTATGTATGGCCAAAGTTTTGTAAACTACCAAAAAGTGAAACTGTGAAAGAACAAAAAAAATTGGAAATATATATTTGAAATTGAGAAAAAATAGAATATAAAGTATAAAACATATTCGACGGAGGGAAGTAATATTCACCTTAATCAGTTGTGAAGAAGATTAAGAACTTCTATGGAGAGACAGAGAGAGAGAGAAGATATGTGGTGACTAGAAATGAACAATTATTGTGTCAATTTATAAAAAAAAACCAAGGACTTGTTGTGAGCAACGTACGTGATCGCCTGCTTCTTTTTGAATATTTAATTTGCAAGTAGGTTTTTAGTCAATATTTGATATATTGTTTCTTTGGTAATTATTGATATTAGAGAAATGATCCACGTGATTGCGGGGATTAAACCTATAAAATTTTATTTATTATTCTCTATTTTATTTAAAATTATTTTTATAAACACTCAATAATGTAACTCGTTTAGAATTTTTTTTGTTGTTGGACATGTTATTTATCACAATATTTGGCAAATATAACACTAATGATATTTAATCTATTTCTCTTTATAGAATGTTAACTCCTCACTTCATCTCTTAGGTTTTCTCGTTCCAAAAATTTAGCATTCACACTTAAATAGTCCATTTTTTTAGTTCCATTAGACTAGAAGCATTTTACTCAATGTAGAATTCATAAACTTGGTATAAAATCACTTTTTCACTAGGTGTATATAGTACTAGATTAAGACCCGCGTATACGCGGGTTTATTTTAAGATTTTGTAATAAAATCATGGAAAAGTATTAAACCAAATTTGATCATTTTAAAGTAAACAGAATAATATTAAAAACCCGATAAAAATATTTAAATAAAATAAGATCGGTAACCTTTTTACGTTTTTATTGTAATTGATATTTTTTTGAATTCATGATATGAAAAATGAATTAATTTGTTTTATTTTTATTTTTATCCAATATAGAAAGACTTATATATGTCTAAATATGATCAACTGATTAATTAATTCAACAAAACTTTATTATTCCATTCAAGAGATTTCAATTGATGAAATCTTTATTTAATAATTTTTTACCTAACAATATTGAAAATTAAACTATTTAAAATTAGAATATCGGTTCATTATATTTTCTTAATATTAGTTAGTTGCTTGATGATGTCAAAAAAAAATTAGTTGCTTGATAATTAATTTGTTAGTTTTCTATTTATATTGTTTCTTTCTCAATTTTGTTTTTGACTCAGACCATTATAAATTTTCATTTTCATTATTAGTTAGTTTTTTTTTAATTATTTTTCTAGTTTTTATATCTGTTTAACATTTTTCCAATTAACATGTCTTCACCGGATCAAATACATGTAACGACAATAATTTTGATTTCTATCCAACCGATATAGAGTTAGATACATGTATCGACAATAATTTTGATTTCTATCCAACTAATATAGAGTTAAATATTATTCATTGATACCATGAATTTTAAATACATGATTTTTTATGAGAGAAAAGATTATACAAAAGATAGAAGCACATAATTGAATCGCAATAGCTTATTATATATTTTTTTTTCCTGTTCATAATGGGAATATAAACACATATCGCAATTTTGTGAGTTATAAAAATCATGCGTATTGCTATCATGTTGTTTGCTTTGATGAGTTTGTGAATGAGAAAAAAAGACTACTTTAACTCTCTTTTTATAGGGGTTCATGTAACTTATTCCATGCAGTTATAGGAAATTTAGTTTACCTAACCTATTTCATGTACTAATAGGATTTTATTTATTTCATTAATTTGAATCTTATATGTGTTTGGATAATATAAATTTGATGAATGGGAAACCTTTTTCTATTAGGATATGACAAATATAATTTTTTTTCTTTTAACTATAAAAGATTAAAATTTCGTTTTTTTTCCTTTATCTATTTTTTTTAATTATTATTTTTTTCCTTTTTTCTAAGACACATGTCACGATCTTAACGGACATAACATTAAAAGTGACACATGTCGCAATCCTAAATTTTATAAAAATCCTACGTGTCGCAACCACGTCGCGCGCATCCAGCTTTATATAATAAGATAACAAATTCTTTATTTTATTTTTTTGTGGTAGCATTTTTTAGTATGGTGACCATTAATTCTTTTATTACATTTTTTGTTTTGTTATAAATTGTATTTTTTTTCACGTACATATCATAATACTTCAAAATTTCAACCTTTTTGTTCCTATGAGATTTACTTATAATAGTTCAACTTCTATCTCTAAATAAAAATAAACTATAAACCTAATTTCTCATTAGCTTCCACTATATTAACTATTTTTTTTTTTTTTTTTACCTTTAAACAGATTATAACATTTTGAAAAGAAAAAATCCTCAATATAGTTTTATTTAAATCTTAATATATGTTATTTCGAGTAAAATATTTTTATTGCGTTCTCTTCAATCTATAATATAACTTTATTTAATTATTAATATCAAATTATCACATAGTCTATATTTATTCATTATTTTTGTTTTGTGTATTTTTCTTAATTTATTTATGTTTTAAGTGTAAAGAATTATTATATCCTTTTATTACCGTATAACCCATATCACACATTAATATAAATATTTAACTTTCGATAAACTTGTCTCTTTTCACAACTACTTACATATGTTGTGAACTACGAATGTATATATAAATTACTTTACCTAATCCTTAGTACATGTAACATTGTCTAGCAGCTACTAACATTAATTTGACTTCCTTTAAATTCTAGATCAAAATAAAAACTCCTCAACTTAGTAGTTAATTTAAATGACGAATATTGCAAAAGTAAAATTAGTTTGCTAGATATTATCTGGTGACAGAGTAATAACAGAAATCTTAGCACATGTGCATCCCATCTAAAACCAAAAATAGAAGTTTTCAGTTTGTGATTTGTCATGTTGGATTTAATTCCTTACACATTTTTTTTTGATAAAAATTCCTTACACATTGTCTATTCTTTTTACATGATTGCATTCCTTGTAACCACTGACCAATTATATATACTTATGTTTAATTTCTAACGATGCATTAATATAATAAAACGTACTTTCTAAAATTAAAAGTATGAGTGTTTCAAATTTATATTATTTATCATTTTGTGCAGAATAATGCCAAAATAGGTCGACGGGTTTTCAGATTTCTCCATCTTCCTTTTTTTGTATTCGAACCATTCAACTCTAATAGTTGACATTTGAGGAGTAACAATCTGGATACAAACAGTCATGAAGATTAATTATCATTTCGCAAGAGTCAAAAACATTATTAAAATAAAGCATATTCGAAAAACATAGGATATTCGGAAGAACATGGCAGTTATATTCAGTAAAATATATAAGTTGATGTATTAGTGGACTTAGTTGCTGTTATATATCCGGTGTATGGATTTATTAACAATCAATCCAACTCAGACCAATTATATTCTATAGGTGAGTGTATACCAGTTCGTTTAAGTTACGTCTTTTAATAAATTTTCTTTGTTAATTTATTAAGGGGAATAATGAGACTTCAATCATATGAAAAAAATTAATGTTTCAAACGGTTCTTATGTTTGGGGCCGGCCCTGGCAGGTATACACATAATTGTATAAGAATTAATACCGTGCTATATAGATAAAGAATCAAATCAATATAATAATGACCAAAAAGTATCGATTGATCGCATTTTGTCACACACAAAAAAAGAAGTAGAGGTGCACCATTACAAATATCACATCACGCATTGAAAAAAAAATAAACGGTAAAAGAACATTTAATTAATCGGAACAAAGGAAAAATTGAAAAATATGGTGGTGTAATCATTTCTCAACCTCAGTCTCACCGGAGAGCTCTTCAAGGGACTTACCCTTGGGCTCAGGAACAAGGAAGGTGAAGAGCATACCGATGAAGTTAATGACACCAAGCATGATCAAAGAGTTCTTGACTCCGATGCCCGGTGGATATCCTGCATCCGTCTTGGTCTTGTCTTGTGGCTGAGCTGCGTATAGGAACCCAAAAGCTCCCACGATGGCTCCAGCCTTACCTGTTGCGGCTGATATTCCATGGCATGTGGACCTTAGCCTGGCCGGGAAGATCTCAGCCGGGACGATGAAAGTGGTTGCATTTGGTCCAAAGTTGGCGAAGAAAAAGGTGAGAGAGTACATGACCACGAATCCGATACGGTTGTCCGGTTTGATCCAGTGGTTGTAAGGGAAGGCAATGGCAAACATAAACACGGTCATCATGAAGAATCCCATGAGTTGGATTGCAAATCTTCCCATAATATCAATAAATGCAACTGTGAACCAGTAACCGGGGACGGTACTACAGAGCGCAATGAGAGTTTGTGCCCTAGCAATCATGAAAACCTCGTGGATTCCGTTCATGGTCGCTGCCTTTGGGATCCATCCAATAGCCGAAAAAATGTCCTTTTGGAACAAGTTTTGGCTGTAGAAGGCAATGTCAAGCAAGAACCAAGTTGAGGTACATCCGAGGAGGGGAAGACCATGGCGTTTGGCAAATTCCTTGGAGAACAAGCCATAGTTAAGTCTAGGGTCTTGAACGATATCCTCCGCTCTTTCCTCCATCTCAAGCTCCACTTGTAAGACCTTAGACATGTCTTGTGTGGCTTGTTTGATGTTCTTGGCGACCAAAGCGGTGTAACGAGCAGTCTCAGGCATCTTCATACGCCAGTAGTAAGTCAAGGCTGCTGGTAGGGCACCAAACATGACAATGATTCTCCAAATGTAATCAGCTTGAGGAGGCGTTGAGAGAGCCCTGTCGACGGCATAGGTCGGAGCTGGGAACTTCTTGTCGAATATTGAA